TTGATATTTATTAATTAATAAATTAATATTTTTAGACAGTATTTATAAAAAAAAATAGAGGACCTTAATATTATGAATGGTGGTAATAACTGCACCCATATATTTCTTTCGAAATTTGTCTATAAACGGACACTGGATGTGACCGAACATGACATGCTAAGAATATCATGAGAAACTGCATCACAAACAACCCCACTTTGGTGGGGAATGATCCTGAATTTCCAGCAAAGAGAACATGAGAAAGAATAGAGGCTACAAGGACATTTCTGCTAACAGCCTTTTTTTTAGCAGTTTGTAAGCAAGTTGTATTTCCTTTTCAGGATGGGTTAGATTTGCTCTCATGGTGGCTTTAAATTTTGTAACCCCAAATCTCATGATCTGTTCAACTTTTTTCATTCAATTTCTGTGGTCACCAAAAACCCTTTATCCAAAAAAAAAAAAAAAGAAGTATTTCACAATCACAGAATTTGACTCATCAGAACCCTTCAAAGGGAAAATTTTATATTCAAATTTTGTGATTAAATATTGCATTCTGATATTGTTCTTATACAATATTTTTTTTAAAAAGTAGTTATAAAATTTTAATATAATTTTCACAATACACCATAAAAAACAATTTTTACAATAAAATAAAATTGTAACCCCTTACAACAAGAGATAATATATCTTACACATTTTATAATAATTAACGTACCTAATGTAAGAGTGACTCTTGAATGGTAAGATAACCTAATATTAAGGTGCAGATTTATTTTTTTTATTTATAAAATTTAAATTTAAATCTTTATTTAAGAAAAATCAAAAATTTTTTTATCGGGTCAATAATAAATCATTAATAAGACATTCTTTTCTTTTTTTTCTTTTCTTTCTTTTTTTTTGGACAATGAAAATTTTTTTCAGAGAAAAGGGAAAGAAAACTTGAGAATAAAATTCAGATTTTGGTAGTGCTAAACACATCCTGCAAGAAAGGGCCAGCAAACCTCAAGTGCTGAACAATAAGACATTCTTTTCTATTAATAATTAAGATAATGTGATATTTGATATAAATTGTGTGATTTTAATTGTATCAAATTATATAATATATATATAATTTTTTTTTTCTTTGTTACGGGAAGTCGGCCTTCAATTTTTTTTCTTGTGAAAAAAGAAAGTGGCCATTTTCCGTCACGCACTGTGTACAAAAATGTAGGACCGCCCACGTACTCTATCCTACCTAATCCAATCTCACGCGGAAATGACGAATTTGCCTCTCTCTTTAAAAAAAAAAAAATGATACGTATTGAATAATAGTACCAGCATTACACCACACGTTACCACACTTAATTTAATTTAATTATATGATGGACCATATTTCCCTTTCACTTAAATATTTTTCTATTATTTTGGGGGAGAAAAATATGTTGTTCAAGTTTATGGAGCCCTTTATCCTTCTATTCTATTTCTTTTCTTCTTCTTTTTTTTTTCACTATAATATTTAAACTTTTGTAATTTACATTAAATGATAAGAAGTAGATTTATTTTCTTATTCATTAAACCAAAAAAAAAAAAATTAACTTACATGATATTTGAAGTTAACAATAATTATTTGGAATATAGATTAACAATTTTATTTAGAGAAAATCTAATATAAAGATATAAATTTTGTTATTATTTTATTTAAAGATATAAATTTTATGAGATTTAAAATTAAATAATAAAATTTTAGTATTTTTTTAAAATAGGGGTAGCAAACTTATATGCCAAAGATATAGTATAATTTTATTTTATTTTTTTGTTTTTTCTTTTCTCTTCTTTAAAGAAAATACTGAAAAAAGAAAAAGAATAGATTTTCTTCCTAACCGTAAACGTCTGTCGGAAGAATCTCTCCGGCCTCCATTTTCCGTTTCGAGCAGATTTCTGAGCTTCCCTTCGGCTCTAGGGTTTCATTCTTCCCCGGAATTTCTTTCTCTTTTTCTCTTTCAGGTATTGTCAACTAACTTCACTTGCTTCTTTTATTCAATTTTTAATAATAACGACATTAATGCTCGAACCGAACAAATCAAGTACAGTTCGAAACCCTAACTCGTGTTTGGCTTCGAAGAAAATAGTGGGAAAGCTAAAAGGAAGGGAAATTTTGATTTGTTGAATTTTTTGTAATGAAAAACGACATTCAACTTAGTCTATTAGTCGTGCTAACCATGGTTGACTTTAAGGTATTGCTCTGCTGGATCTCATGCACTGGAAAAAGAAAAAAAAAAAAAAATTAGATTTGCAATTGTGATGTTACAAAATCTCGCAGATTTTCATAGTAACCAGAAAGAGATCATTTTTCATTTTGGGTTGAGTTCTGAAGTTGTTAAAAGCTGTGGTGCTGCTAAATTTGATTGTTATTGTAAGTTTTGGAGATAAGAGTTTTCAGGTATTAGAGTTTTTTTAGTGACATCGTTTAAGGAATTATTGTGTTATTAATTATTAGGATTACTGATTTATTAGGGTGAACGCAAATGTATTGTTTGTTTCTGTTTTGTTGTCATGTGAAATCATGTTCTCAAAAAATTGATTCGTTCTTCTAATATGAAGATCAATCTCAAGATGAAATGGGATTTTTTTTTTCTTACTTGTGTGTGTGGATATTAATTGGCATTTGCTGTGGATCAGTCTGTTTTGCCAATAAGTGAAATTAAAAGAAGATGTCCATTGGAAAAGAGAAACAACTAGTTTCTTTGCTTATGCGTTAAACTCATTGCCGTATTGGAGGATTCTGGGGTTCTTGTTCTTCAATTAGTAGTATAGATAGGAAAGGAAGAATGAGCCTAAGTGCCTGACATTGTTCTTCAAGTGTTAAATCTAACCTAATCAACAACTTTCTGTTCCGATTCCTAAAATTCAAAGGTATAAAATTGAATTTGTATTGCTGAAACTGTATGAAGATCTGCAGCCTAATATGAGAAAGTGGGTAGGGGCAGCTTATCTTATCAAATCAGAAGTGTATGGCTGTATATAGCTCTATAGAATTCATAAGGTCATGAATTTCATGATCTATCTTTTGAGGAGAATCTCTTTGTTGATAGTCTGAGAGGAAGAGGATTATACAGACTTTTACATTTTTCTAGGAAAGGCGGTATTTGCGCATGAGTGGTTGTTTACTCTTGCTTGTTAGCTTGTCTATTAAGATTTGATTGGATTGTAATATCACAAAAGTTTTATTTCTGTATATTTTGCATTTCTCTTTTTCATCATTCGTCCAGACACATAAGCTTATATTCCATTGTAACATCCAGGTTTGCTGTTGGATTTGGCTGAGTTAAAGGTCAAAGGGATGAGGTATTAGTGTTCTTGTGATGTCTTCAACATGCAGACAGATTCAAAAGTTTCTTTTTCCCCTGAGGCACAGGCCATAGACCTTAATCAGGAGAACATTCCAACACAAAGTGGAGATCCTGGAATAGTTTCATCCACTTTGAATAATAGTGCATCAGAGAAGCCTGGTATATCGTTTGTTCTTGTAAACTTCTTATTTTTTGTGCTGCGTCAGTGAATGCACCATCAATAGTGAGAAAGGACTTAATTCTTTTAGATCTGTCCAAGAATTTGGTTTTTGGTTGAACAATGTGGAGGAAAATGATTCAGTTAACCAACCCGAACTAATTTTGTATCAGGGAATTGTCTAATAGTTAAGTTTTCTTGAGTTAATATGCTGTCCATTACACTTGTGCCTTAAATCATATTATGAATGCCAAATGCAGCTAAAAAACCAACACGGCAATGGGCTGCTTGGACACGTCAAGAGGAGGAAAGTTTCTTCACTGCATTACGACAAGTTGGGAAGGCATGTTATTCTGATGTGTGTTTTGGGATTTTATTATTTACCATAACAATTTTCCTTAACACTTGCCTTAAATGCAGAATTTTGAGAAGATCACTCGTCGTGTCCAAAGCAAAAACAAGGATCAGGTGAGTTTCCACTTTCTACCATATCAAAGTTTTGTTGTTCTCAGCCAACTCTTGTCAATTTATGATGTTTTTTCCTCTTTCTAATTTGTAGGTTAGACATTATTATTATCGTCTTGTGAGGCGCATGAACAAGCTACTGGGTCCAGGATTATGTTTGGATGCCAAAAATTCTAAAGATACTAATGCTGCAATGCTTCGATGGTACTGTCTTGAACTAAGTGCCCTTTTTTTTTCATAATACTTTAGTTATGTCAATATCATGCAGAGCAAAGGTTATTAGTTGAGCCAATTTTGAAGCTTTTTCTGAATATCTTAAGAGGGAATTCATTCAGCTGGGGCAAGCCATGCCAAGTGAAATGGCCTTTTGATTAAGTTGCTGATCATTTGAATTTGTTGGGCATAAAACTGCATTGGAATGTGCAATTCTATTTTCATTTGAGGGCTGGCGGCATAAACATATTCCATATTTGAATCCACTTTTAGGCATATGGCTTAAAGGTGTCTTGATTAAGGGTTATTTGTTGTATAATTCTCTAATGATGGTACTTGTATTGATGTAATACTATCCTTTTGCAAAATTTCATATACCACTAGATATTTTACTGTTTGTTTTATTCATTTTATAAATTACCGACATGTTTTACAGGTGGTCTTTATTGGAAAAGTATAGCTGCAGAGCCTCAAAGCTTCACCTAAAACCTCGCAGATTTAAAATATTTGTGGAAGCATTGGTTAGTCAGTGCTACCTTGTTTCTCATTCTTCAAATCTTATCCATCTATAAATTTGAAATCTTAGGCGTGCACTGCACTGACTGTTTTGTCCTTCCTATGAAGGAGAATCAACTGTTGAAAGACCGGAAGAAGAACATAAGAAAACGGCTTTCTCATGGAGAAAATTGTTCACCTGCATCTCCAAATGCTATTTCAAATCAGGGTAGATCATCAGGACATGATTCTCATCCTGTTAAACTGGTTCTTGTAGACAGTCAAAACATTCCAAAATTAGGACCTGGAAAAGGTTCATTTAAGCGGAATGCCAATGTTGGTGTTAACCGGAGCAACATCAAGGGGGAATCAATTACCATGAAACCTACAAGGCAAAGACGGAAACCAGGTGGTTTTTCTTCCCTTTTTTCCCAGTATTGTTTTGGAGAAGAAATTTTTATTTTTTCATGGATGTATTATTGCTATGCTAATATTGTCGGTTAGATTTGTTGGACAACAATTACAAATTAGAATTTTGTATTATATCATTCTTTTGCTGCTGCACTTGTTAGGTCTCTCAGATCTCCACTTGTAAAGCTTATGCCACAGGAAGGGAGTTATAAGAATAGTTTCAGCCACACATGAGTTAGCTTTAATTTCCTAAAAGTGGATGTCATTGGTGGGTGGATTTGTCATATGCAATGTATACCCAGTGATGCAATCAAGTACAAGGAATGAAGAGGCATAGTGGTAGCCCATGGATGGCATGGATTAAGATAGTAATAACTCATCAAGAAACTATGGCCCTTGATTGGATAGAATGGAGTAAATGATTCAAGTAACTTGCCTAATTAGTTTGGGGCTACAGATGGTTCAGTCATGAATCAATGGCTTTTATTTTCCATGTTTAAATGCTTACTTTGAATCTAATTTAAATTTTCATCTAATGTAATCATTGTTTTTGGCAAGCTTTTGCATTGAGTTGCAATTAGATGCAAGCAGTGTGAAGAGAATTAACGGCATGTAGATGGTTTGATTGCTTTGATGTTACGGGATGAAAGGGACCCAGGGTACTGGATAATCCAGCTCTGTAATTACTCATTGTGCTTTTGGTGATTTTGTGCTATCAATCATTATGGATATTTAGGTCATAAGTCAATGTTATGACAACTCACTATTTCAGTTACTTAAAAAAAAAAAAAAAATCTTGTGAAGGCCAGAAAAAAAAAAATTGTGTGGTTGTTGCTTATGCAAATGGTGAATTGACTTTCAATTTTCAAATATAGTGGGATTGTCATACTCTTATTCCTTCACAGTCCTGTGGCACATTAAGAATATTTGTAATGCTATGCAATTCTTACCAGCTGCCTCATCAGCTGCATATAAAAAGTGGGAAAAGGCTGCAATTGCTGGGGTTTCATTAGTTGCTGATGCTGCTGAGCATTTGGAGAGAACAACTTATGATAACGAAACTGAAAATGATCAAGACAAACCAGGTTAGGTTGAGCATCATCAATTATGCCCCTGAAAGCTTATATTAGAATTGACATGTGACATGCTTAAAAAGATGTTTATCTCCATCTTGATTCTAGGGGAAAAAGTTCTTGACCAAGTTGAAAACATCCAGCCCTTGTTGCCCATCTCCCCAAACCTTTTTGTTGACAGCAACTTGTATGGTGCCTCAGGGAAACTTAAACTTCAGTTGTTTCCAATTGATGATAGCACTAGAAGAGCCTTAGAAATGGTGAGCACCAAAGAAAATTATGTTGATATTTTGACATTCCATGAAGTTATGGCAGCTTAATGATATTAAGGATGTGACTGGATCTCCCTCTGTTCACAGGATAAACACAATCCACACCTGGAACTAACTCTTAGTACACGAAAGAAGATTTCATCAGTTTTGGAGCATCTGAATCGCAAATGGGGCAATTCAAGTATAGCCTCAGGAGAACTTATGCTTTTTCCTTACATTGTTCAAAGGGAAAACTTGGCTGGTTATCAGAGATGGACTCAGGCCTCTGTTTCCAGTGCTCTGGATGTATATGCAATGATTGGAAGCCCTCCAATATTTCGCTTGAGGTCTCCTTTATATTTGAACTTGATTGCAGCTTCTGAGTTGGATCTTAACATAATTGCTGAATTTTATAGATTTTTATGCAGGTATGGTTGGTTTTGTGATGCTGAACTTGATTCTCTAACATGGAAAGGACCTTTTCCTTCTTCCAATGTTCCAAATGTGAAAATTATGAATGTTGAAAGTAGGAAAGGGCATGCCAAAGAAGCTGTGCCGACCTTTGTTCCATGCACTGAGGATCCGTCTGATAAACTTGTGGATATCACTCCAGTAAAAGAAACTCCTGTTCTGGAACCAGTTTTAACTACATTACCCAATGGAATGAGTAGGCACCATGGCACATGCCTTGAAAATGATGTTGGGAATTCCTCAGTTCCTGTAATATGTAAACCATTTCATAGAATTGAGACAGGCAATGGTGATCTCATGGGACAGTTGGAAGAGGCAGTAAGTATTTTTTTTCCTCTCTCCAAGATCTTGAATCCATTGGGCAGTTTTGACATGCATTTATAATTTATAGCTTCTCAACTAGTGAGACCATACCATCTGCATTTGGCCAAAGAAAAAATAGTGAGACCATATAATTTCACCAACATAAGTGAATATGATTGTGTCAAATTATTGATAATTCAAGGTACATTTCTAATATTACAAGGTACATAAGTAGACAATATTAATGATTCAAGGTACATCAATAGCTGTTGCCAAAAAAGAGTACACCAATAGCTAATATTGAAACCTAAAGTTTCATAGCATGATGGGATTGCCCTTCCTTTTATGCCCCTTGTGTTTCTGAACTTGTATCTCTTCTCTGAAATGCATAGGATAATCAGAGGTTAAGCAGTGGTACCTTATTACCTGCTGTGGAGTGGGCTGACAGCCTTACCAACATAAGTATTGGAGATCTACTTTCAGAAGTGCCTGATGATTTAGATTCTAACTGTGTGGACCCACCTTTGGCTGAAGGTTCTCAACGTCTCCAGCAGATTCCATTCAGCTGTGATTCATTTGATGCAGCCATTGCTGCTCATATATCTAAACATCAAGAGAGGATGGAAGTTCCTCCAATTTTGGAATCCCATGCATCATCTATCTGGGATGCTGAGGAAACTTGTGATGCCTTCTTATTTCAAAAGAACCCTACTTGTCCAGAAGTTAGTAAATTTTTTGCTGTAGCTTCCCCTGGGGTGTGCAAACAGATTGCAAAAACGAACTCCATGAATTTTAGCAAACCTACAGAGGTATACTTGATACTCAATTTTCTATTTGGACAATTTCATTGCATATGCTGTGAAGTAGTGACATGAAACCAGGTATAACATCTTGACAGCCTCTTCCACAGGACTTACCTAATGCAGAGGAGCCTATGGAAAGTTCTGCTTGTGAAGGCCCTAGTAATGAGGGTCCATTTGATCCCCATATTCTGGATAATTCAGCGAAAGATTTCAGTGGACTAACTGACATGTATTGGGTATGTTAATTTCTTAGCCTTTCTGAATCCATGACTTCATTAAGTTCATGTCCTCGGTAGACCTTGATTCCACCAGCAAAACAACACTGTATTTAGGATTCTTATTCCATTAGCATTGGGAAAACATATTTTTTTACCTCTCTTTAGCAGAATCAATTGGGATAAGTTTATCTGATTTCATGTTCTCCACATTGCAGCCTGACTCTTTAGGACCACTAGATCTTGACATGCCATCTTCTAAATATCATAGTGAAGATTTGGTTTTAGGTGATAGCCTTGGAGGTTTGAACCGGCTAATTGCCAGCAGTCTAGATGCATTTCAAAATTGCTTGTTTTTTGGGCTAGACAAGAAAGATTCAACATCAGCTATGGAAGCTCGAGAAACTGCATCTTGAGATTTTAAAATTGGCATAGAGGTTTGAGATCTTCGCCTAGTTTTTGATTTTAGAGAAGATGTTGATTGAAAGCATGAGCCTCACACCCAAAAAGAAAAGGGCTTGTGCCTTCCAAGTTTATCTGACCTGATTTTACATGGAGGCTGGTCTTAGCCAGGAGAATTCTGGCTCTGTATGTAGAAGTACCCCAATAAATGAGCCTCATCAGTTGATATGTACAAAGTAGCCTGAAAAATGTTAACACACTTGCTGTTCCCTATTTGTCTTTTAATCCTTCTGTATACTTGTTTATAAACTGATCAGGAGCTGCTTAGCTTCTTAAATAGATAACAAAGGTGCAAATTTCACATTTTAGTATCTGGATTAGACTGGCCTAGACCAAGTTCAATTTTTTCTTTTTGCCTTTGGATACTATGAACTGAATTCTATATCATGGTTTTTTTTTTTGGAAAAAAAAAAAAAAAAAACTATGATTTACTTTCTTGATTAAGGGTGAACGAACAGAATTTGCTACATTTTTTGTTCCAAACTTGAAAAAAGGAAGGAAAAAGAAAAAGGGGATTCTAGTCCAGACACTTCCTACTCTTTAGGGAATATCTTGTAATTAATGTCAGCAAGCAACGTAAAGTGTGAATAATTCAATGGTTGGACTGCCCTCCTCCATCGAATCACATTACTTTTCTTGTAACAATAATTATAAATTTCATTGCTATGAAAATGCCATTTTTGAGTAATATTGTTTCTGTTTTATGCATAACCATTTTTGGATTAGGGTATGAGTTTGTTTCGTTGTATATAATTTTTAAGGTTTAGGTTTTAAGGTTTTTAATATAACTTGGTTTTAAGGTTTAGAATGTTAGGATTGGGGGTTTTTTTAAATTAAATTTTCATCTAAATTTTTTACTTTAAAAAATAAAAAATTAAATTAAAAATACTATTGTTGAATGGATGGAGTAAATTCAAGACTTTAAGATTTAAAATTGATTTGTTTAGTTGGAGGAATAATTATTCCTTGATTTTTTTTAGTCAAAGATTATTTCTTGGTCAAATTAAAAAAATAAAGTAAAAGTAAGGAAAGAAATACAAATAAGAAATGGTTATTCCAAACATCAATTTACTTATAATAAGAGGAAATAAGATTGCAGTAACTAATAATAACTTCACGATCTCAACTATTTCCTTCAACATTTATTCAAAGATAATTAATGAAAGTAAAGAATACCTATTTTTTGTGTAATATTTTTCTTGCATTTTAAGATTGGAATATTCATTATTCTTCCATTAATAAAATTTTTGTTTATAAAAAAGGAAAAAACTTTATTTTATAGTTTGATTAAGAATAGACACTCCATCAAAGCAAATATAACTAGGGTTTAAATTTTAAAATTTTAGAGTCTTAATGTTTAGAATTTAGAGTTTTGAAGGTTAGAATTTAGATTCTAGTACTTAAAAATTTATATTTTTTAAATTTATTATTTGAAGAGATAGAGATTGATATAGCTTAACTTTACATAAGGGCAGTTAGGAGAGATGGTAATTTACCCATTTTTTAAAGTAAGTTAAAATTAAAATTTTAACTTGAAAACCCTTAACTCTTTGGTTGGAAGAATCACTACAAAACTTTGGTAAAATAGAATTTTTTTTTTTTAGACATGCTAAGGAATGGAGGGGGTTTTAAGTTTATAATAACTATCAACTTTCTTGATTTTTTTTTTCAAGAATTTGGAGGCAATTGATATATATTTAAATTACTTTTAAAAAAGAAATAAAAAACTAAGGAAGACTTTTTATAATAAAATATAATTAGAATAAAATGATAAGGATGATTAAGGTAGAATAAAAATATTTATCTATCTTAATAAATAAAAAGTAACTAATTTAAGAGAAATTTTATAGTTAAAAAATTCAAGGAACAAAGGAGAAGCTAGGAAAGAAGTAAGGAATTTATGAAAACCATTAGTAGTACTTTTTTGACTCTCAGTTTATCATATTAAAATTTTAAATTTCATTTTAAGATAATAAAATATTTTTTAAGGATACAAAAGAGAAATTAATTATACTTTTTTGGGATAAAATAATATGGGTGAATCTCGTGAGATAGTCACCTAACTTTGTCAAAATAAACATTTTTATCACCTAATTCCTAAACATAACAAAGGGGTCACCCAACTTTTCAAAAGTTGACATTTTAGTAAATCAACTCTTAATCCTAACAAAATGGTCACATAATTTTCCAAGCTGTCCATCTATTAGCCACTTGTCACTTAAAATAACGAAATTGAAAACCAATGTTTAAAAATTTGGGCTCTAGTTATCGCTACCGTAGAGATTGTTAAGGTCACCAATAGTTAATTTCTTGTTTTTTAAAATTATTTTTTTACCCATTTAAGAAAAGATAAAAGTATGAGGATAAAGTTGAAAAGATATGGGCAAAAAGGTAATTTAGCAAAACAAAAAGTTGAATATTGGTGCCCTTAACAATATCAATGGTGACCTTAACAATCCCTTAAAATTTGGCTGACTACATTTTGTAATGAAGTTGAAAATCTTGATTTCAAAGATATATTTTCAATTAAGAAATAAAGTTAGAATTTTTCATATGTATCATTCTTCAAAGGAGTTACTAAATTGTTATTCACTAAATAAGAAATTAAAGAACAATAGTTTTTTTCATTACCAACTAATGAATTTACAATGTGTAAAACAACATTCTATAATCTTTTTTTATCTAAAAATAACAAAATTATTTACAACAATTTTATAAATATGAAGGCTTAATTAACAGTATTTATTAATTAATCTAAATGTTAAGTAACTAACAGATATATAATCTAAAAGATTAGGCAATCATCTTGTAATGGTAATGAGCTAGATGAGTAAAACTTACTTATATAATTCATTTAAAAGTCAAACTCAAAATTTTCCCTTTATCAAATCTAAAATGTTGATTTGGACAAAGTTTGGTGACCCTTTTGTTAAGATTACGAATTAAGTGAATATATTAATTTTGATAAACTTGAGTGACCGACTCCAAATAATTTACAATTTTCAATTTCAAGTAAAAGTAGAAAATAAAAATTCAAAATTGTGAAAATCCTCAAAAATTGGAGATTGGCTAATTAGCTAAAATCTTTTTCTTTCCGAACAAGAAAGGACTCTGTACCCCCTTTCCCTATAAATATATGATTAAGCCCCCACCCCTCATCAGATCCCAAACGCTTCTTCTCGTCTCTAGATTTTCTTTGCTCTGGTTTTTCACCGACCATGTCTAACCAAGCGGAATCTTCTGACTCGTATGTTTCCGATCTCCATTCTCTGATTGATTTTGCCCCCTTTTTTTTTTTTTTGTGGAGATTTTTGGTTAATGGGTATGTGGGATTGTGTTAGAATCTGACTTTGATTTGTGGGGTTTTTTTTATTTTATTTTTTGGTGTTGGTTTCAGTAAGGGGACTAAGAGGGATTTCAGCACCGCGATCTTGGAGAGGAAGAAGGCACCTAATCGGCTTGTTGTTGACGAAGCACTCAACGATGACAACTCTGTTGTCGTTCTCCATCCCGACACCATGGAGAAGCTCCAACTCTTTCGTGGTGACACCATATTGATTAAGGTTTGGACATTAGATTTTGGAATTAAGCTATTTGGGTTTTATAGGTATCTGAATTTTGCTTAATGCGGCTTTGTTTGTGATGTAATTTTGTGAGTTGGAGTTTACTTTTTTTTTCATGGGTTTTGTGTCGCCATGTTACAGTTAATGATATTGAGATTTTTTGGGGGAAATTTAGATTTTTGCTTAGATGAATTCCTGGGGTTTTTTTTTTTTTTTGGAATAATTAAGATCTGCAATTGGGGTCTATTTTGTTCATCATAGGCTGTGATGTAGTATGTTTTAATGTCCGGCTTTGCATGCTATGACAGGAGGTCGCTTGATATTCTGAGATTGTCGTTCTTAATGAAGAATAAACAAATTAAATGCTTAAGTTTGTATGTTATGTGTGAGGGCCTTGAATTGCAATCTTAGTTTGTGGATTCATGTATGACATATTTGAAATCACACGTGTGCATATAGGATATAGCTGAAGTTTATAACTTGCTGATAACTCTTTGGCCTTCAGGGGAAGAAGAGGAAGGACACTATCTGCATTGCTCTTGCTGACGAGTCATGTGAGGAACCAAAGATTAGGATGAATAAAGTAGTGAGGTCAAACTTGAGGGTTAGGCTTGGAGACGTTGTCTCTGTGCATCAGTGTCCTGATGTCAAATATGGGAAGCGTGTGCATATCTTGCCTATAGATGACACAATTGAAGGGGTTACTGGAAATCTCTTTGATGCTTACTTGAAGCGTAAGTGTAGTTGCTTTTATTTTGTTAGTAATCTGTTTGTTGAGAATTTGGTTGTGCATAGGAATTGTGGTGTGAATCATCTTCTGTGTGGCCACAAGATGTTTTATCATTCAGGAGTTGTTCTTGTTGGTTATCATATCAGCATTTTCTGAGTCGATTTCTCATGCTGTGACAACCCACTATTTGCACATAGTTTTACCTTTTCTGTCCACAATGGTTGATGCATGAGACTTCTTCTATTTTATCTGAATAGGTCTAGAATCAATTATGTTCATTTCCAAGAATACTTCTCATATGAACAGTAATCATTTACATTTGTTTGAGTATTAAGACATCATGCATATTTGTTTTAACTTGTTTATTTGGGTATGCATGTATGTATGTGTTAAAAAACCTTCTAAGCATATCTCTCTCTAGCTTGGACCTGTCTTTTCTAAACATATTTGGCATGATGGACGTCCATGGTGTAATAAGCCTGTGTATGTTTATTATAGGCACAGACTAGTTTCTAGCATCTTTCTGAAAGCCATTGGTTTGATATATGTTAGTTTCGTAGGCAGATGTCTTTTTGGATTACATTTGAGGATAGGTGTGAATACTGAAAGTACAAAATTTTACATTTGCAGCTTATTTCCTGGAGGCATACCGACCTGTGAGGAAGGGTGATTATTTCCTGGTGAGGGGTGGAATGAGAAGCGTGGAGTTCAAGGTCATTGAGACTGACCCACCTGAATACTGCGTGGTTGCTCCAGACACTGAGATCTTCTGTGAGGGAGAGCCTGTGAGAAGGGAGGATGAGAATAGATTAGATGAGGTTGGTTATGATGATGTTGGTGGTGTTAGAAAACAGATGGCTCAGATTCGGGAATTGGTAGAGCTTCCATTGAGGCATCCACAACTCTTCAAATCAATTGGTGTGAAGCCACCAAAAGGAATTCTGCTATATGGACCTCCTGGGTCTGGCAAGACTCTGATTGCCCGTGCTGTTGCCAATGAAACTGGTGCTTTCTT